TAGTACCTTATTCAAGTCTTTTTGGTTTTGCTGCTCATCATTGCTAAAAACTAGGATACCACCCAGATATATGAATACACAGTATCCAGTTTGAAAAATATCCTATCCATGTAACGATGAAATGTAGCAGAGGTAGTCTTCAAACCGAAAGGCATGTATAAGAATTTGAACAGCCCAAAGGGTGTAACTTCAGCAGTTTTTGCTACGTCCTCGGGGGGGGGGGGTTATTTGATGATAAGCAGACAGTACATCTATTCTGGAAAAGCAGGATTTATTTGCCAATCGTGCTGTAAAAGAATTTATATATACACATGGCACAGTGGATAAAGGCATTGGTTAGATCCAGTGACAGGACCCAAAGAGTGAGTTCAACACCCAGAGGGAAATTAACAGGAGATAACTGATATCCATTAAACATGGCACGTGGAACTAGAACAGTCTACCCCAGTGAGTGAAATAAAGGGTTCAGTTCAACATTTCAACCACCTGAAAAGGCCTGAGCATACAATGGCCGAAAACGTTGGAATAAATATGGCGACAAAGATGAGGACAATAGTCCAAATAATGTAAATAGTGTACATAATACATCATCTCAGAAATATAGACAGATACTGAAAGGCCGAAACGTTGTAATAAATATGGCGACAAAGATGAGGACAATAGTCCGAATAATGTAAATAGTGTACATAATACATCATCTCAGAAATATAGACAGATACTGAAAGGCCGAAACGTTGTAATAGATATGGCAACAAAGATGAGGACAATAGTCCGAATAATGTAAATAGTGTACATAATACCTCATCTCAGAAATATAGACAGATACTGAAGGGCCGAAACATTGTAATAGATATGGCAACAAAGATGAGGACAATAGTCTGAATAATGTAAATAGTGTACATAATACCTCATCTCAGAAATATAGACAGATACTGAAGGGCCGAAACGTTGTAATAGATATGGCAACAAAGATGAGGACAATAGTCCGAATAATGTAAATAGTGTACATAATACGTCATCTCAGAAACATAGACAGATACTGAAGGGCCGAAACGTTGTAATAGATATGGCAACAAAGATGAGGACAATAGTCCGAATAATGTAAATAATGTACAATTCATGGTAGTCTAACATATACAGGACTTTTAGGGGAACCATATACCATTGACAGTTTTACGTTCAAAGTTAGCAGTGATAACTCATTCAGGGTAACCATTTGCCCAAAACAGTTAATTTTCTTAAGCTCAGCATCAAGCCTGCACTCAGAACATCAAAGCATGATGAGTAAGGGTATTGATAAGATTGATTTTCCTGGTTTTGGGAGCAAATAAATTCCAAGTGAGGTATAACCAACCCAGAGAAGATGGGTTTCTGATAAACACTAGTGAGAAAACCCAAAAGTGTTCTTTCTACAAATACATCCAGGAAAGGTAACTAATTGTTCTCTTCTACCTCTATAGTAATATTTCAAAGAGGGGTGGAGATTATTAAGATATGAAAAGAACTCTTCTGCTTTATTACAAGAAGAAAATGACCGTAAACTTATCATTGATTTAGGGGAAGTAAAAGGAGGGTTTAGCAATCTTATCAAATAGTTGTTTCTCATAAAAGCCAACAAAAATGTTAGCCATCAGTGGTCTCAATGGACTACCCATTGCCATTCCATATATCTGTCGGTACATATAACTGTCAAAGCTAAAGGAGACAGACTTAGTATCCATCTCCATCGACTCAACAAAGACAACCCCAGGAAAAGATGAAGGCTTTGCGAGGCCACAGTACAAAAAATTTGCACAAATATCAATTGTTTCATCAAGTGGTAAATTTGTGAACAAACTAAATATATTGACTGACACAAAATACTCACTATCAAGATTAGGCTGCAATTTGTGCATATGAACGACAAATTAAAATAAGTCAGGTACACAGTACTCCGAATAGGATAATAGAACTGGATCAAGAACCACAATAAGCCACTTAGCCAAACTTTGTCAAAGATATTATTTTGTCTGAATATGTGTCAGTCGAAAGGTACCTAAAATTTTAATCTTTGTGATACATTTTTATCTGTTTTTTATGAATAATATATATATGTTTGAAGTGCAACTTAAAGTTTCATTGTTCTACCAACTCATTCTACCAACTTATCAGGTACGAATTTTTATGTGCATGATGAGTTTGTAGATCAACAAAACTAAGTTGCACTTCAAACGCAGGTATATGTATATTTATTAATATATACATCTTACCTATGTCTAACCACATTGAGCACTGTTTTGTTTACACCTTATATTAAATTAAGTAAATATTTATTCGCTTATCTGTGTATGCACACTAATGCATGTATATACAGTTGGTAACATTTGGTTATTTGGTTTATCTGCATTAATACCTACATATATATATACATATATACATATATATATATATATATATATATATATATATATATGTGTGTGTGTACAGATGTCCATACTGATAATGTGCTTATTAATGTAATATTAATTGTTGGGGTACAGCATTTAATACCATTTTTTTAAGGAGACTGACTAGAAATATGAGTATGCAGTTAGAAAGAGTGGGAACTTGTCTTTTTACCTTTAAAAAAGATTCAAAAATGTAAAAAGTAAGACCAACCAAAAAATGTTTTTGACTCTTTCCAGTTGGACACTACATGGCTGGAATGAATGTGTTAACATTTGATCACCATTTTTTTTAATGAAAAGTGTTACAAGTTTCAGAATAAATGAATTCAGCACATTCAAAAGAAATAGAGTCAACCCATGGAGGAACATATATCTATATTACATGTTTGTAATTTTCCCACTGGTCTGTAACAATGTTTGATTTTCCATATGGAGGATATCTATTCTTAGGCCATTTTTTTACACCTGTCATGAATTTCATTCCAAACCCATAGTCATGTTGCTTTTTACTTTTTTTTCCCCTAATACTTCACACAAGAATGGGTGCATAGTAGATATTGTAACAAAAGACATGGCTTACCTCGGAATTCGAAACAAGCGCAAACATGTCTTGCCTGCAAAGTGATGACAAAAAAGAAATATGGCTGCTATTGAAGACACAGTTTATGCGCGCCTATCTCGTCCAAAACAAGACGATATTTGCACACATGCAAATTTTGGCTGTCTTGGAATAGCATAAAAAGTGGAGTGCCAACAGCCCCAAAAAACTGAAGTCATTCGGCAGACTGCGTGTGTTAGAGTTGGACGTACAGATTGACAGACTGACAAAGAGGAAGTCAAAGTATGCTCGGCTGAGTTGGTGTCTGTTTCACAACTGCCCAGTGTAACGGCCAAGAAAGGGAGCCACGCAATCCATTTCCTTGAGGCGACCGAAGAAGAAGAAAAAACATTCGGCCTGCCGGCAAGCATTGCACTGCACTTTTTGACACTACCCCCATCATCATTTTTTTTTCTACAGATATGGGTCTATAGGTTTATAATGGATGAGGTTAAGGTTGAGATGTTTCAAAAGGAATAAAATTCAATGTTTCAAAAGAAATGGATTTGACATATGGAAGAATTTTCTACAAGAAAATTGGTGTTGAGATACAAGTTTGAAATGGCGATAATTGCTGTTGGTCATCAGTTTATGATGGGAGAAGTTATAACTTGTTGCTGATGAGAATGAATACTTTCAGAATAAAAGAATTCAACATTTTCAAAAGGAATGAATTTCAACATGTCTTGAATCCATTTTATTTAATGGATTCAAGACGTGGATGTTGTGTGTGTATGTGATATGTCTATGTGGTTTATTTGAAATTAACTATTCAGTTTGCTAGGGTCAAAGAAATCTGACCAGCAGCAAAGTGTTCCATGTTGGCACTGCATCAAGAAAATGATTGAGAAAGCGTTTATATCACTTCATTTTGTAGTCATGAAAGAGCACCACCTATTGGCCTGGTGGCAGACAAGGTGGGGGGAATCTTTATAGTATCTTTTTAAATTTGTAACTTTTTATAAAAAAATAGACTGAACAATGTCATTATTAATCTTTGACTATTTTTTTCAGTTTGTTTTTACTTTACATAACCTTCTGTGCCAGATTTTAAAGTAAGAAGCATGATGTCAAAATAAAGAAATAGGATTCTCTTTGCATCCTATACACAAGGACATGAGGAGCTCTTTATTAATCAATTTACTCATAAAAGTAATAATAATAATTGCTCTGGTGTTACACCAGGCATGGCTCACACAACATCTGAGCTTAATTTACTGGAAATGTTATCATTTATGTTTTGTCTTGATGAATTAAACAATAAATAGTAAATATCCTATTAAATAGTAACATATCCTATTTACACTATTTACAATGTTCATACAGTTGTCCTCATTGTTATTGTCACATTCACAATGTTTCAGCTGTTGTATGCTCTGGCCTTCTTCAGGTGATATTTGTTTGAATTTCAAACCGAACACAGAGTAATCAATCTGTATGTTGGCGTTTCTGAAGATTTGTTCGATGATGTTTGTGTAGATTTTCTTCCCATGTTTATTTCTTGAAATGGGCTGACATATAACATTCATATTACCAAAGATCTACTCAGTGTGTGCTGATTTAAAATCTAACAGATACCACTGGTTCTAATATATATATATATATATATATATATATATATATATATATATATATATATATATATAAACAAACACATAAACAACCGGTTATGCCACTGCAGCCTGTAGTATCAAGGATGAACTGTGCACCTCACAAATTATCAAAATAAAAATCTTTCAAAGATTTCAACACATTTTCCTTACATACTGTTTTATCTTTCATTCTAATTTGAAGAAGCCAAAATCAACAGATGTTTGGTGAAACATGTTGTTTGTACCTTTGCCACTTTGTGCCATCATCTTCACCACACATAGAAACACACACACATACACACACACACACACACACACAAATGTATATGTGTGTGTGTGTGTAATATCTGAAAGTATGTCTTTCTTTGACAGCACCTTACTGACTTACTCATAAGGCCATAAATGCTTGGCAAAGAGAGTAAGATAGATAGATAGATAGATAGATAGATAGATAGATAATGAACAGACTGAAATAGATAGATAGATAGATAGATAGATAGATAGATAGATAGATAGATAGATACGGTGCTCATGGAGCATACAACAGCTGAAAGACAAAGATGAGGACAATAGTCCGAATAATGTAAATAGTGTACATAATACCTCATCTCAGAAATATAGACAGATACTGAAAAATTTTTGGGTACACACTATTAATGAAATCGGCTTATACACGATTATATATGGTATTTTGCTGTTGCTAGCATCAGAAATCTTCAAGCAATATGGTTTTTGGTACTTGGCAAAGCTCAGTTGACTGAGTATGATGAGAGACTGTCTTCTTTCTGATTCATTCGCTTGAAGTCATTTTAATCCTTGATCTGAGAAATGAATATTAATGATAGAATGAAGGAGATTTACTAAATTTGACTTGTAAATTAGCTGATAGTTTAGATACTTCTGTATGATTTGAACACTATGCAGAATATCCATAGATAGATAGATAGATATAGAGACTGTGATAACTTCCAAAGTAGGTATGAACAAATTTATAGATAGATAGATAGATAGATAGATAGACTATGATAACTTCCAAAGTAGGTATGAACAAACTTAGATAGATAGATAGATAGATAGATAGATAGATAGATAGATAGATAGATAGACTGTGATAGCTTCCAAAATAGATATAAACAAACTTAGATAGATAGATAGATAGATAGATAGATTGTGATAACTTCCAAAATAGATATAAACAAACTTAGAAAGATAGATAGATAGATAGATAGATAGATAGATAGATAGATGAAGAAAGTGAGAGATATATATGAAGATACTGGAATATATATATATATATATATATATATATATATATATATATATAATATTTATTTAAACATTATAACATAAGTATGATAAACATCACTACAAAAATAGCCATTTTGTTTCCACACTTCTGGTGTCTTGTCAAGTGATGGTGTTGAGTGTAAAAAAAAATAGTTTTCTTTTTTTTTTACATTCAACACCATCACTTGACAAAACACCTGAAGTGTGGAAACAAAATGGCTATTTTTGTAGTGATATTATAGATTATGTTATATTTTTTAAATAAATAAAATAATATTCGTTCTACTTTGTATTGAGTACATTTTTTAAAAATAGCATTTTTGGTTACTGGAATTTTATTCCATCAATACCAGCCTTTTATTTGTATATATATATATATATTGATAATATTAGTGGAAAATATACATACATATGAAAAATATATCTAAAAAAATTTCCATACATATATATTTTCAGAAAAAAATTTTTCCAAGAGGAAGGATCCAGGTAGAACTCAATGTCTAGGACAGAGTAAGGATATAATAAAAAGGCTTAAACACTAATAATATTCCATGGTCATAATTTATTCCATTGGAATCGTAAATACGATCCAAATCATCAGACCTACAAATTCAAAATGAAAACAGAAAAAACAACTCCGGAAATCAAAAACGAATTTAGAGAAAGAGTAAGTATGAGGAGGAGGGACAGAGAGAATTCTAGGAGATGTGGGTGGGGTGGGGAATTTAAAAAAGAGAGAAAAGAAAGTCGACGGATGTCTAATGCATAAAGATACATTTCGTGGTAACATACATACATCACAGACAATTAGAAGTTAGGATAGGAAGTAGGGGGGAAAAAGAAAAGAGGTGGGGGAGAGAGATGGGACGAAGGAAAAAAAAAAAAAAAAAATTATATATATATATATATAGAGAGAGAGAGAGAGAGAGGGAGAGGGAGAGGGAGACACACACATAGACAGACAGAGAGACAGAGACAGAGACTGCACCTGTTTGGCTTTCTGAATATCACGCCAAATTTCATGAGGAAAATAATGTTTATTATTATTATTTTGTCACACCATTAACTTTTCAGGACCCCATTGTAGAAATAGTGAAAAGCAAAATGAAATGAAAAAAATCCAAACATTATTGTGAGGAGGAGGTGAAAAGAAGAAAAATGAATATGAACATGAGGAGATAGATAGAAGGAGCAGGGAGAGAGTGAAGTGATAGATAGATTGATAGATAGAGAGAGAGAGAGAGAGAGAGAGAGAGAGAGAGAGAAGGATAGATAGATAGAAGGCTATATCAATAGATAGAGAGAGAAGGATAGAGAGAGAAAAGGATAGATAGAGAGATAAGGATAGAGAAAGAGAAGCATAGATTGATAGCGAGAAGGATATATATATAGAGAGAGAGGAGAAAGGATAGATTGATAGAGAGAAGGATATATATATATATATATATATATATATATATATATATATGTATAGAGAAAGAGAGAGAGAGAAAAGATAGATAAAGAGGGAGAAGGATAGAGTGAGAGAAGGATAGAGAAGGATAGATTGAGAGAAATAGAAGTATATATATATATATATATATAGAGAGAGAGAGAGAGAGAGAAGTAGAGAGAAAGAGAAGGACAGATAGAGAGAGAAGAATAGAGAGAAAGGTTAGATAGAAAGAGGATAGATAGAGAGAAAGGATAGATGCAGAGAGATGGATAGATTAATAGAGAGAGAGAAGGATAGATAGATAGATAGATAGATAGATAGATAGTGAGAGAGGAGGATAGATTGATAGAGACAGAAGGATAGATAAGCAGAAAAAGAAGGATAGAGTGAGAGAAGGATAGGGAGAAAGAGAACGATAGATTGAGAGATAGAGAGAGAAGGATATATATATAGAGAGAGAGAAGTAGAGAGAGAGAAGGATAGACAGAGAGAGAAGGATAGTGAGAGAGAGACATAGATTACTTTAATAAAAGTTTTACTTATATTTTATTATTTTATATTTATTGTTGTATGACTTCATTGCATAATAAATAAGTTATTATTTAATCTATTTATTCCATTTTTCTGATAAAGAATAAAATTATTATGAATGTTTAAATAATATTTTACTGATTGTGTACGAATTATGCCCTTTTGTAACTCTCAGTATAGTTTGTCTGAGCTACAAAAGACATAAAGTTTTGAGGAGTCATTATCGGCCACATCAATTGCCATTCTTCCTGGATCCTGTTCTTTTATTGTCTTGTCTCCTTGTTACCGTTTTCTCATCTTCTTTCACTTTCTCTATCCCCTTGTATCTTAGTGGCATTGTCACCTTGATTGGAGAGAAACAATAAAAAAGTCAAAATATTCATACAATTTTAGAAATTTTAAATTACATCCTGTAACATGTGTGCAATAAATAACAACTGAAATAAGGTAAGAGAAATATTAGTGATAAATTCTTTATGTTTTTTCTTTTTCAGGTTCAGAGTTTTTTCCGGGGTTGGCTATGTCGGCGTCGCTGGAAACAAATTGTGGAACTCTACATTCGCTCACCTCATGCCGAGAGCATGAGAAAACGTAACAGCATTGTGTTCAACATGGTTGAGTGTGAGGAGGAGTATAATCGCCAACTGTCAACCTTGGTAACTTGTTTTCTTCGGCCATTCAGAATGGCTGCCAGCTCTAAGAAACCCCCAATTACTCATGAAGATGTCAATTCCATTTTCCTTAACAGGTAAGCAAACCAAATTTCCATGAGAAACACTTGTGCACTATTTTCATTGTTCATATCTATCTTAGTATGCTCATCTCATCTTTCTCTCTCTCTCTCTCTCTCTCTCTCTCTCTCTCCATCACTCCATCTATCTATCTATCTATCTATCTATGTCACAGTCTATTATTTATCTATCTCATTCTGTTCATATCTATCTATCTATCTGATTCGGTTTATATCTATCTATCTATCTATCTATCTATCTATCTATCTATCTATTCTTTAGGCAAAAGCCTCTGTGATGAAGTTTCAAAAAATATTAAGGCCAAGGCCCAGGGGGTCCATCAATCCAAGTGATATATCTCTCCATTTGAGAGGAGGCTAGGTATATTGCCTGCCTGAGTTATTCCCAAAATGTGAAATGCTAAGGGTCAATTTTTCCATGGTATTGCCATTAAATCCACTTTAAACCACAACCTTGTGTCACATTTGGTAGTGACATGGGTGCACTGAAAAATACCTACTCATCCAGAAGCCTGTTCATTTTGGTCACTTTTTCTATATATATCAATTTATATCTCTTATTCAGTTCATATCTATCAATCTATCTATTTATCTTTCTATCGCTGTTTGTTCATATCTATCTATCTATCTATCTATCTATCTATCTATCTATCTATCTATCTCAGAGTCTCCGTATCTATCTATCCCTCTATCTATCTAGCTATCAGATTGTATCTATCTATCTATCTATCTATCTATCTATCTATCTATCTATATATATATATATATATATATATATATATATTTATATTTAATGAAAAACAGACACTTTAAGGTACCATTACAATAATTTATTTCACCAAAATCCTTTTTAAAGGATTTCGGATCATGCATTGTTGGAAGTGTTACCTGATGATCCGAAATCCTTTAAAAGGATTTTGGTGAAATAAATTATTGTAATGGTACCTTTAAAGTATCTGTTTTTCATTAAATATTAGCTCTGTTCTTCACATTGAGCTCTCAGGATTTCATCCTCCTTGGAATTACCAATTCGGTTTACCAAATTCTTCATAACTAAACATATATATATATATATATATATATATATATATATATATGAAAAAAGATGTGTATATTTACAAAGAAAATGCATATTTAGACAGTAGTTCCTTTCTAATACATGTTTCATTAAAAATAACTAACATGGTGCTTTGTTTTTTGTTGCATTTATTTTTGTGGATGAACAAGAGATTCTTTTTTGACATAGTGTATGGAGCACTTAGCCATCTCCTGTTGCAGACACCTGTTCAGGCACATTTATGTTTATTCAACACCTTTTTAAACAGTGAAATTAAGATCTACCAACATCAAGATTGAAAGTCTAATGAAAGAATGTGTAGCTTTCAACAGCAATTTAACTTGTTTTCCTTTTTAACTCTAAAAAAATACTTTCTGGAAAGGTGTGCTTTAGCATGAAGCTACAGGAAACCATTGCAGAAAATCAAGGCTTAGTTAACCAATTTAAATGCACACTTCCTGTTGGAACCTTTTGAAGACCATATTTGATAAATTTATCTTTATACATTTGAAATGCAAAGCAATTTTTAAGCCATTAATTGAGTTTTTCTGTAGTTGGCGTTATTCTTCTTAAAGCAAATCTTCTTATGACAGATACAATGAAAAGAAATACACATAAACCAGTAAATAAAAAATCACCTTCTCCACAACTTTTCTTTCTCCAATATTCATAACATTCATTTTAATTTCTGTAGTGCATAATCTTTACTCTTGAAGTGGTCTCAAATGTCTTTGCACTTTGTGAAACTAATTTAAATTCTTCTATTGCTACCAATGAATTCTCTGTTCCAGGCTATCTTCCCCTTTGCCAAAAAGATTCTAGCATACATATACATGACCTGGGTGTTCATATTCTAGAAAATCTCCCAATTTCAAGAGAATTGTCTCTTGGGTCCCGAGATGATTCTTTCATGTACTTTCGACTTTCATTATTGTACTCTATTAGCTATCTGTCTTTCATTTACCACTCTTCTTCTCAGAACTGTAAGATATCAAACAAAACTTCTGATAATATAGAAATACCTCTTTCTCTACATCTACCTGCTAATATTTTTGAGTTTGGTGATATTAATACACATCACATCAAATGACTTAAGCATTCTAATGTTACTGATGTTGTCAGTATACAGACTTTCAATGTTTCCATTACTCAATCTCTCAGTAAAATAATGGATTTCCTTACTTGTTTCCTTAATAATTCTGTTCAACACTTTTCTTTACTGGATTTTTTCCTTACCTCCACTCCTAGCTTTGTAGAACATAACAAACTGTCCTCTTGGCAATTCAGAACATACTGTAGTATCTATTGATATTTCTGTTACAAAAGAACATACTTACAAGACTTCTTTCTGTTATCAGCATACTGATTGGGATTTATTTGGTGACTTTATTCAAGACACCCCCAGATTGATATTCTTAACCTTCCTATTGAGAATTTTGCCACAGAGGTTTCTTTTTGGTTTAAAGCTGGCATTGATGCTTTTGTACCTGCAATTACCAGATGAAACCACAATCTTCTCCATGGTTCACACCAGCCTGTTCAGCCACTATAGCCCACAGGAATCACTTTTTTCTGAATATACCAGCATGATAATTCTGATCTCAACTGACTCATATTTGTGTCTGCTCAAAATATTTGTAACCATGTTTTCAAAGAGGCTAAGTTTTTGTTTGCTGATAGATTGAGGCGCCATATAGCCTCTAACAAGTTTGGTTCACATGACTACTGGTGGCTCTTTAATAGCGTGTTAAATAAGAGTAAGTCTTCTATTCTTCCTCTCTTCCTGCAATTTGAGGTGTTAACATCTTCTGCTGATAAAGAAGAATGTTTTGCTTGTAAATTCTCTTCAAATTCTACTCTTAACTCCTCTGGAGTAGCTTTGCCTTTCTTTCCACTTAGAACCGATTCTCTATTGAGTGGTATTTTTTAAAATCATTTCACCTCAAGCAAAGCAACGATTCCACTAGAAAGTGGTGGTGGGGTAACAGGGAGTGAAAGTGAATGAGAATAAGAAGATTGAAAATGGGGAGGATTGAAGAAAGGGCAAAAATGGAACAGGGTTCAAGAAGACAAAAGATGGTAATTGATATTGAATTTAAATTTTTGAAGATAGTAGTTATCAGGGAAGCAAGAAATTAGAAGGGAGTTCCACAGGTTAAAGTAGAAATGATGGTTTCATCTAGCTAGATCAGCAGTAAAATGGTGGGACCTAGTTGCCAATACAGTAGCACACTTAAATTCATGTAGTCAGGGTAACAGAAAAGGCAGTTGCCATGAAAATATTTGTAGAAAAGTTTATGTCAATGAGAAAGTAACTGCAGACAAAATGCCTGATCAGGATCGATTGTATTGGGTTGGTGCATAATTATCAGGCGTTTTTAAATAATATTTATTATAAAAAAAGAAACATAGCAATTCAACAATAACATTTTTTAAATGATTATTCAGGAGCCATGCATTTGTATAACTGGAAAATAAAATATTAAAAATGTAAACAAAACAGTAATTTTTATTAACAAATAACTTGTCTACAAAAATGTCTGATCGTTAAGCACCAACCCAATATAAAAGACCCATCTCTAGATTTTTTAAAGTATCTTGAGATGCACAGTAGAAGCACCAAACTAGTTATGGCAAGAGTTTTCAATGCATGGACAAATGGTTGATTTATAAATAAATTGATGGATTCTGATGGGAAAAAAATTATTGGCAAGTGAACCAACCTTTTTGTAGCAGACATAGTAGCAACTGACACTAGACACTCCACTTCATGGCACAGGAAAACATGAGGTCAAGAAGGTGTAGGGTGTTGCTTTCCTGAAGTTCAGCACCAGCCATCCGGATGGTAGGCAGAAACAGTTTTCTGTGGTGATTAAATGAAAGCAGTTTTGTTTTGGAGGCATTGAAATTTACAAACCATTTCTTGCCCTAATATACTACTAATTGGAGGTCATTTTCCAGAGTAGTTGCCAGGTTTACTTTGTTGGGTTTGATACTAAGGCAGGAGTAAATGGTTGTGTCATCTGCATAAATGCCTAATTGAAAACTGATGACATCAGGAAAATCATTGATGAAGATCAGAAACAGCAAAGGTTGCAAGGATAGAGCCCAGAGTGACCTTTGCATTAGTATGAAATGATCTAGAAACATGTCTGTTCAATATGACCTTTGATATGTATATAACTCCATCCACATTTTCTGCTATTATCTCTCCACTGGATCTTCACAAAGCATGTCGACCTGATTACATTCCTGCAATAGGGCTTAATAAATGCGCTGCTGAACTGCCTCCCACTCCCTCTAAACTCAACAATAAATGCCTTGCTGCTTCTTGCTTAACTGCTTGCTGGAAATCCTCTTCTGTAGTTTCAGTCTTTAAGAACTCAGGTGAACTGTCTGATCCTTCTATCTATAGGTCTGTTAGCCTTCTACCTCTTTTGGTAAAGTAAAGGTGAGTCTAATCAACACCGAATTGGTTAAGCATTTCACATCACAGGTTCTTCTTTCAGATAAGCAATATGGCCTTTGCTTCTCTAGGTCAACTGCTGATGTTTTAACGATTATTGCTGAAAGAGTTTATCAACATTTAGATAAGAATGGTGAAGTTCAGGCTGTTGCTTTGAATATCTCAAAGGAATTTGACAGGGTTTGGCATACCGGTTTTCTTCAGAAGTTGAAAAATTATGATACTTATGGATGACTTTTTGAACTGGTTCGGTCTTTTTTATCACATTGCAAAGATAAAGTAGTCTTGAATGGCCACTCTTCTAGATCTTTTTGAACTCTTCAGCAGGATTCAAACCTGCATCCTCCTGGGCTGTGGGAGCTACCATTAGATCCATCACATTCTAACAGAGCAACAAAGAACCAGACAATTAGGTAAAGCCAAAATTGTGCCTTTAAACAAAACTTCTCTCATCATAGATCTCCCAAAATGTTTTCATATCTGCACAGTTTTTCTTTCATAAGACTTTTTGAATATTCAGGCTGGTAGAAATAAATAGATAAATATAATGTTTAATAAATAAACAGTACATCTACTGAAATATGAGTATCCATTAAAAATAACATTTAAAGTGAAAAAAAAAACTGTCCATTATTTTCTTTAGAAAGATTGCTTTGTTTATATTTGGATATGAAAGTGGGCAGATATGAAAACATTTTGGAAGATCTATGACGAGAGAAATTTCACTTAAAGAAATATATATATATATTATATAAGGAAGAGGTTAGAGTTGTTCCAATGAGAGAAAAGTGTATATATTAAAAAGAAGAGAGATACTGCAAAAGTTTTTTGATTGTCTTGTGTATTTTTGTTTTAAATATATATTATGCTTTATTTTTCATGATTTTGTGACACAGGTTTTGGGTCTCATGACCTTCTTCAGGTAAAGAGTGGATATTTCTATATATTATTAAAATGAATTAATTTTCTTTAAGTTTTTCAATGTTAAACATTTTCTTTTTTGTGTGGTAGTGGCACAAATGTCTTTCTTAGACTGGCAGTGAGAAAGTTCTTCTGCATGTAGGCTAATAAAATAATTAAGATTGGTTTGAGAAAGGGTGAGGAAAGATATCTGTATTCTTATCTTTTAATGACCCCTGTCTATTTTTAGATCTATTTCCATTTTTTGTATTGTATGTGTTCTTGTTAGTATATAACAGATTATTACCTCTCTCTCTCTCTTCCTCTCTCTCTCTCTCTCTCTATATATATATATATATATATATAGTCATCCACAGACAGACTGTTTCA